CAGCAAGCCAAAGGCCCGGTTTTATGCAAACACAGCACCAACAAGAAAGTGACTAAACCTTCACTGGCTTCAAAGCTCTTCAGGGAAAGGATTTCCACTTCACTAAAAAGTGTTCCTTTAGGTGGGTAAAGAAACATCAAAGAAGCCCCACTTGGATGGACTAAAGAGACTTAATCTCCTAAAGGACACTGCACCGAGCACCTCCTCACACACAGCTCTGCCTGTCCTCAGGCCACCCTGAGCTGGCCAGTGAGCAGTGACCAGACTTTGTCCTGCTCATCACCAGGGACCAATGGGACCAGCCAGGCCGGCAGCATCACCTGGAAACCTCAGTCTCCTGGGAATGGCTGTCATTTCAGGAATGTTAACAATTACTCTCCTGTTGCCAGGGTCACAGGCAAAGCCTCCCCATGCACCTCCACAGACATTTCCAGCGACACCCCTCTCCTTCCTGCAGTGTGTGTCACACTGCCCTGGCAGCACAACCCAGAAAGGAAACAGGACTCGCATCTAAGTAGGAAAAAAGATGAAATTCACCACGGTTCCTGCCCCATGGCACAGCCCTGGCTTCAAGGCGCTCCACCCTGCATGTCAGGGACAAGCAGAGCCTGGATCTGCTGCAGACACAAGTGCACAGGACAAACCAACTTCAACATTCCTCAGCACAACTCTTACACCCAGATGCAGCAAATGGATGAAATCCCAGGGCTCAAGGCAGGAGATGGGCTGCCAAAGAGAGAACCTGCTCCTCAGGGCCCCCCTCACAGCCAGGCAAACAGGTGGGGCTCCCGCTGCCTTCAGGGAGGAGTGGAACACCAACTTCACCCTCCTGGCATGGGAACATCAATCCTCATGTGTGAGCACCACAGCACACCACTAACAGCCACTGTCACTGTCAGCAGCTGATCTCTGATACAGCTTTTCAAGAAGCTGTGCTAAATCCAAAACTCCACTGGGATGGGTACTTAGCTAAAGTAGGGAGTGCTCTCCCTCTTCATTTCTTAGTGATCTAAAGAAGTTAAGAGGCCAAAATCTTTGCTGCACTTGAAACAGAGAGTTGAAGCAGATTTCTGTTCTCCTACTTTCTAGAACACCTCCCAAACCAACCTGCCATGTTACCTCACTGAGAGCACCAGTTTTCCTGAAACCTCTACTCACATTCTTCACAAATGTAAATCTTTAGCTCTAGATAAAACTCATAACTGCACCTTCACAGCACCAGTACCTGAAGCATCCTACTAGAGCCTGGAAAGATGAAACCGGAGAACGCCAACCTCTCCCCAAAACTTCCCGAAGGGTTCAATCAGGTCCAGCACAGAAACAAGGCACAGAAGGTCGGGAGTGCTGAAAGCACTGGGAGGCGGCAGAGGGGCAGGGACATGCAGGGAGGGCCACGGACACGCAGAAGGAGCAGGGGGCTGGGACACGGCACGGGGACAGGGACACGAAGCGGGGACAGAGGCTAGCGGGATGTGGCGGGGCAGCCCCCCCGCTGCCCCCCTCTCAGGGGACACGCGTTGCTCCGGTCCCCGGGCCGGCTCCGGCCCCGCTGCCGGGGCCCCGGGCCCTGGCGGCGGCAGAGCAGGAACCGCCGGGGCAGGGCACGGCGGGGCTCACCCGCAGTTGCCGCAGTCGGCTCCGAGAGGTCTCGGAGCGGGTCACTTCCCTTACCTGCGGCCGAACCGCGCAGAGCCCTCCGCGGCGGCTGCGCCTCCGCCGGCTCCGGGCAGCCCCCGCCGCCGTCCCGCCCGCACCGCTCCGCTCGGTGTCCGCCACGCTCCGGGGCCGGTCTCGCGAGAGTCATTATCTTGGGAATGTTTGCTCTTCCGACCAGTAGTTGTAGCTGGGCTCTCAAAGCTGTCCTGCCTTCCAGATGCCGGAAGTATCCTGATTGTTAAATACCCAACAGGGCAAACTGTTTTGGCCTTGAGCTTCGGTGTGACGCCATGTTCAGTCCTGAGACGAAGCGCTGCACAAACAATTTCTAGCTGTCAAATCCATACCTGAACTTTTCTCCTCAGGTTTAAATTCCCCTCCAATCCCTTCCTAAAAAGGACAGGAGAGATTCGTGCCCAAAGGATTCATAATCCAGAGCAGCTGAAGTACAAAATGCTCCCAAACTCCGAAGCTCCAAAACAGTCTGACCTCTGCTGTCCCATCCCTGGCTCTTCCCACAGAAAACATGAGATACAGCCCTGCACACTGAACCTGCTGCTGAACTGATGGAAGAGATGCTGTCCTGTCTTGGCTCTGCTGCAGAGTTTCTGGTCTAAAGTTTCTCTGTCCTGAAGTTTCTGGTTTCAAACCCCAAAAAGTTGAAGGTCATTTAAGAAGTGACCAATCTGCCCCAGTGCCTGGGACCATTTCAGGTGCCCAGTTTCAGATAATAGCTTTGTGTATTTGATCTGGAACCTTGTCTAATAATCCCCTGAAAATCAAGAAAAAGCAAACTCCAGTTCCTTTTCCAGTGGACAAGCAAGCTTTCAATAAAATTTCATATACCTATGAGGGTGAAAATGTAATTAGCTACAGGAACCTCTCCAGCATGAACCTCAGAGATGTGTCAGTGTGGATCTGGAAATCACAAAGAGCAGTGCTACAAATCAGAAGATGCTGCATATTTTATGTAAAATGTAAGCAAGAGAAAACCTCCTGACATGAGCAGGAATCACATCAGGGTCAGTTGGAAGAATCCATACCATGGCAATCGCATAGCTGCTTGAAAAGATTGGGTGTTCCAGACCATTGTCTTACCATTACTCTGAATCATTACTGTCATCAAAAGCAGGACAGGAAAGGTTACACTTTTTGGTTTTTTTTTGTTTTTTTTTTTTTTAAAGACAATCTAGGAGTAGGCAGTAAACTACTGTAAATGCAACAAGCAAGGCAGCCCTGAAAACTGTTATGATTTAGAAAGTTCTAAAGGTGGGGGTTCATAAAGGAGCACTGTCATAAAGACCTAAGCGGTTATGAGTAACAGAGAAACAGAAGATAAGAAACAACTCTTTGCTGGCTCCTCCAGCTCCACAAGCAGCAATCCACAAATCAAACAGAAATCTGCAAATGAAACATTTGCAGATTAAAAAAAAAAAGTATTCTTAAAATTCTTAAAGACCTAGCAAATCAAATATATATAAAGCTCAAGGGAAGAGGAGAGGCAGACATTGATCTTTTCTCTCTTGTGACCAGTGACAAGACCCAAGAGAATGGAGCTGGGCCAGGGCAGGCTCAGGCTGGAGATCAGGAAAAGGTTCTTCCCTCAGAGGGTGTCAAGCACTGAACTGGCTCCCCAGGGAATGGTCACAGCTGTCAGAGCTCCAAGAGTGTTTGGATGACACTCTCAGGCAGAGGGTGGAATTTTTGGGTGTCTGTGCCATGAGTTGCACTCTATGATCCTGATGGGTCCCTCCCAACTCAGGAGACTTCACAATTGTATAATTAAGAAATCAATTTGCTTATCCTATTGTGACAAGGTGAAGTCTAAGGATGGAACCACTCCTCTCACAGACTTTCTATCCGCTCATGTGAAAGTATTTTGCTAAATATTAAAGGCCCAGTGGTATTGCCTTCCCTATCTGTAAGGTTTATGAAAGCAGCAATGTTTGAAATCAGATTTCCCTGTTTAAAAGCATTGCACATTACCTGAGCTGTTTAGAGTTCAGAGTCCTGCTGCTCACCTTAGAGCATCTTCCAGGACAGCCTGATAAACCTCATTGTTACCCATTAACAGTGTTACCCAAGAGCCCATTAATTATGTGGCTTTCTCTCTGTTGTGCCAAGGTTCCCTGAGTGGTGTAGGACACATTACAGATGTTGGGTCATGTACACTTGGAATCTGCAAATTCCAGGAAAGAAGAGTTACCACCCAGACAGGGTCAGCACTCTGGCAGCAACAGCCAAGGTAGAGCTTTCCCAGAGAACTTATCATTTCCAAAGATTATGTGATTATTTCTGGTGGTTTTGACAGGAAAACAAATGAATAATAAAAAGTTATGTATAGTGAGAACTTACCTTTAACAGATCAGGCATGCTGAGGTACTGTATTCTCTTTTCTGTCCCACTTTGGATCATGAACAGAAACCCTGTTGTGAGCAGTCACTAAAATTACTTTAGCCTTTTATGCTTGTGAGTAAACCAAATTTTCCAGTATTCTGAAAAGTGTTAAGATCCACAGTAAATTCAGAACTACAAAGCACCACAGGAAAAAAACCTGGAATCAGTCTCTACTGTAGACCCATGCAAGAGCACTGTACCTGACCATACCCTACAAGGGAACCCCAAAAGCACAGAAAGGATTCTCCCTCCTCCCAGAGCATCAAGTGACAAATGTTCATAGGTACTCAACTATTTAGGTCGAAAAAGACCTCGGAGATCAAGTCCAGCTTTAACCCAGGACCAACAAATCCACCACTACCCCCTGTCCATCAGTGCCACACCTGCACATCTTTTAAACACCTCCGGGAATGACAATTTCTCCACTGCCCTGGGCAGCCTCTGCCAATGCTAGATAGCCCTTTTTTTGCCCCAATATCCAATCTAAACCTTCCCTGGCACAACTTCAGGCCAGTTTGTCTCATCCTGTCCCTCGGGAGCAGAGCCTGACCCCCACCTACCTCCAGTCAGGGAGCTGTAGAGTGCTGAGGTCTCCCCTGAGCCTCCTTTTCTCCAGGCTGAGCATTCCCAGCTCCCTCAGCTGCTCCTCACAAGCCTTGTGCTTGCAACAGGAAATGGAAAATTCAAGGTTAATGTGTGGACACCTTCAGAGTTCATCCCTGGAGGGCCCAGGGGTGTTCTGAAGCTCTCTTTGAATCCCCAAAAAATGCACATTAGCTTGAATTACAGGCTCTCCCTGCCTGGGGAGCATCACACTGAGCTACCAAAATCCACAGGAATTCCACACCCCTGTTTATATTTTGAGAAAGAAGCCTGGGATCTGAAAGAACAAGTACTTCATATTTCAGTTCAGTATTAGACAGAATTGCCATCAGACTTAACAGCAGGGCATCAAAACAGTATTTATTGACCTGGTTTAACCACATCCTATCATTACCTGCACCATGCCAGGAACAAGCTGTCAGTATCTTACTAGAACTGTGTTGTTATACAAAGATAAGCACATACTATCTCAATTGTATTCAAAAATATCTATTAATTTCACCAGAAATATTTACAAGTGACACTTTTTCTTGAAAAGGCTGCTTTAAGCCAGAAAAAAAATTACAAATAGTAAAGGGAAAATCTAATAAATTAATTGAAAGTCACAATATTTGTCATTGACTGCAAAAGAATCAAAGTTACATTTTTGATTTTATTTTTTAGGGATAGCCAAGAATTCAAGAATAGTGGTTTGTGTCTAGAAACTTATATAAATCTTGTGAAAGAATTAATTTGCTCCTGCAGTAACAACAGCTGCCATGTTTCCAAACTAATCCAGTTTAAAAAACTGTTCTAATAAAGTCTGTATAATTTTAAGTTATTTGTGTAGTCATTTATCTATGAGCTACAGTATTTGCTGGTTTATTTAGAATTTACTTCTAGAATAGAAAAGAGAAAATGCATTTTATAATGGCAGAATCTCAAATTTCATTTACACAAATAGATTTCTATCAGTTCTTAGAAAGTGCCTGTTTATTTCTTCCACTTTGCTCTATGATATACCCCAAAATTCAGAAAAATCAGAAAAGTTTATTCTAATAAAGCAAGAGAACTGATTATTTTGGCCCCATGTATGTAAAAAAGAGATCTGAATGCAGTAAATGACCCCCAAATTAAATGCAAAAAAAAAAAAAGTCTACAGAGTTAAAAAAAAAAAAAAAGAAAAAATCAAACCAAGAAGCCATTCTAGCAAATCACCATCACAAAAAATGCATCATTTGCCAAAGGAGTCATATTATCTATAATATGCTCTGTCAAGCAGAGGAAGCCACTTCATGTCTAGATTGTGTCCTCATGAGGACAGCGTGGCTCCCCAGCAGCGTAAGGATGACATCTAGTGACGGCCACATCCATTTGTTCCCAACAACACCAGCCCAGGCTGCCATCCTCACCTGGAGTGAGAGAGGTTAGGGTTGTACCTACATTTAAATACCTGTATTAAAAAAATGCACATGTGTCAGATATCTTCAAGTGCTTTCCTTTCATTACCTGAATTAAAAAAGAAAAACAAAACAAAACAAAGAAAAAACCTAAAAATAAAATAAAATTTAAAAAAATAAAATAAAACCAAAAAAAAAAAAAAATCAACAAAAAACTACCAAAACCCAAACATGAAGAAAACATTTAAAAAATCTGTAATTTTATGATATATAATCTATGCAAAAATTTGTTTAAACCTTCAAGATAAAACAATTCTCTTGCTATATTAGTGCTATATTGTTCTAATGCAACCTCTAAAGTGCCATGTTCTTGAGTCATTTGTTGTAATGGGATACAATCCTTGCAAAAGCTGTTCCCAAAAGATCATCCTGCATAGCATTTAGTTACAAAGCTATAGTACAGAGAGATTTTTAAAAGTCACACACTCAAGCAGCAGAAAATTCTGCCAACCTCTCCAAAAACATAAAAGATGCTCTAGACTTTTAACATTTTTTCACCAACAGACAGTGCAAACAGTGATCACTCTGGAACCAAGACTATCCATTCACACTTCTCTAATTAGTAAAGAACCTGGGACAAGACCAGAGTGCTTTATTACAAATAGAGCATTATTTTTCTCTGGTTCTATGCACTGCCTCTCTAATAATACATTACAAATAATACAAAACAGTAATTAAGAGTTTGTTGCTCTTTTCTTATTCCCTTCTCATGTTTGTGTACTGGGAAAATGAGTGTTTTTCTCAAAACATTCTCTTCTGTTTATTAGGGTGATCCAACCCCAAACCTTGCTCCCAGAACTGTAGGCTTCATTTTCACCTTTGACTGCAAAAATTGCACTGCTGAGAAGTGCAAGGAATCACAAACTGCATCGTTTGAGAATTACAATACCTTATTTTACAACTGCGGTGTGTGCAAATTGTTATTTCAATTACATTTAATAGTTACAAATATTCTCAAACCATATAAGTATAGTAGGTTCTAGAGAAAGTAACATGGATAACTAATATTCTGCAACTTGAAACAAAAACAATAAATAAAAGTTTGAAGCATTAAAACTAAGAAAAAGTAATCCTGTACATTGTACAGTACCTTTTGGTTAAAGCTTCTTAGCAAAAATATACTAAAGTGTTCTAAGCATTCCAGTTACAGATGGTTCAATATTAAAATTTCAAGGTTTCCTCATCATTAATAAAATATTGCATTTGTCCGTAGGTGCAGGAGAAGATGTGTCTCTCTGAACAAGGCTCCAGTCTTTAAAAATCCAGAGACAACAAGTCTGAATTCAAAGGAATCATTACAAAACTCCAATACAGTACTGAGGATGTAAAGTTGTTGTGCATGAGGGGTTGTTGACATTCCCTTACTCCCCAAAGCAGCTCTAGAGAGCCCACTGGATATCACTGAGGTCAGCTGTGTCTCCCAGGCCCCCATCAGCCTCCAGGTAATTCATCAGAGCTGTCATCACAGTGTCATCGTTCTCACAGATGGCATCAAAGTCCAGCTGAGAATTGCCACCTACACAGTGATTAAAACAGGGAGCTTGAAGCAGGCATAAACACTATGAAGCATGGAGAACATGGTAACTTGCAGAACAGAATTGGTTTGAAGCAAAACATGCCTTTGAAGTCAAGGCAAATATTTCTATGTTAAAAAAACCCCTAACTTGACTCCCTTTTAGTTCAACACCATTCTTCCTTGTTCTGTGTTGTTTGGGTTGTTTTTAATTCTTTTTTCCCAAACCCTTATTAAAGAATTCGCTTTTTCTCCTTTGTGTTTCTTCTTCAGTGTTTTTCTTTTTTGGTTGGTTGGTTTGGGGTTGTCAGGGTTTGGGTTTTTAAATTTTTCTGAAAAGGCTCATAGTTCAACCAGAAGAAAGCTGTAGGTTACAAATAAACAAATAAATCCCTGGCAAATGAGGGAGAAGAGGAAGATGGAAAAGCTTCTAAGAGCTGAAATACAGAATCAGCATCAACATGGCTTTTACAGCATTTTGCCTTTTATGTCAAACATAATGCAGTGGCATTTTCCTCTTACAGCGCCAGGGAATTCTGTATCCAGACAAACTTAACAAGGGAAAGATTAAAAAAATTATTTCTGAACCATTGGGAGCAGCCCTTTGTACCAATTACTCCCAGCTTGCAGCCTAGAAAGAGGTGAAGTGCTAAAGGACAATAATTCACAAATTCCAAGAAGTTCCCTGACATTGCATTGAAATACTTTTCCCTCCCTATCTCTGTCCTGGAGAGAGAGCAGTAAGGTACCTCATGAAAAGTTTAAGAATGCAATGGTAAACTTCAGTTACAGATGTTGTTTTTTGTCATGAGATTGCCTCACTTACCAAATTTTGCTGTTTGCCTTGCAGCAGTAACACATCTGTTTTCAGAGTGCTCTCATCTTCAGCCAGCCACATCTCTTTACAATTTATACGTGGTTGTAAGTGGTGCACTCAGAAATGACACCAGTGATCAGAAGTATCAGCCCTTGCAACCCCCAGAATAGCCCCAAGAGAAATAAATCTTACTGAGGAGAGGTTCATTACTGAGCAATGGAATAGCACCCTGGGTTTGCTCTGAATTCTCCAGAGCTTCTGTTTCTGAAGGACATAACTGAATCAACTCTTTCTTTGGCACCTGAAAGAGCAGAATTGGTAGAAAGGACAGAATTAGATCCTAAATTTAGTCACAAATATTACATCAGAGAAACATCATAGATTCCTGTCAAATTATTAAGAACGGAATAGAGAAAGTGAAAAATATACCTCATCAGGCAGATATTTTGCATTTAGAAACAAATATTTTATAAGTTCATATAGCACTGGACCTGGCTTAAATAAAAGTTGTGACTTACACAGCTGTCAAAGGTACTTCATAGTGATGGCACTGCTTGAGCTTCTAACTCAGCGTTCAGTAAATGAATCCAGTACCAAACGTACTGGTTTGCACTTTCCACACCTACTGCCATAAACTACAAATTCCCAGTGACCTGATGTTTGTCACTGTCAAAACATTCCAGTTAAGAGATTAAAAAAGCCCTCATACCTCCTAGGTTCTATATGCTAACCCAAAAAAAGATAATTTTTTTCCTGATAGTTGTTTTATTTAACACATACATGTAATTTAGCAGGAGAGATTCCTAGGATTGTCTGACTTGTGTATATTCTACCAGGAAATTAATAAAGGCGAAATGCTTTCCAAAAGTATTTTAGGAACAAATGGGATACCAAGGCCCAGAATCAAGAAAAATCTTCAATGAATATGATGAAATTATCCTTATGATGAGACATTACACGATTTAGAGAGTTCAGCATAAATAAGTCAAACAACTCTTCAGGAGAAAGGGGAGAACATATAATAAAAAAAAGGGGGAAGTCAAAGCAGCTCCTAGACCAGAATAGTGGGGGTTTTTCATAAGAAATGAGAATTGCAGTGGAAAGATAAACTATTTCTAACAGGAAAGAAATTTGCATTCAAAGAGCTATTGGAGAAGTTTGTTCATGCCATGTCCACTACAAAACATACAACATATTTAGGTAAGAAGATATGTTAATTATTCCATAGCTATGGGCAATAACTATGTTATTTATATAACTATGTTAGTTATAGTTTATGGTGTTACAAGCACTAGTAGATTTACAAACACCATTATATTAGCATAATTACCCATTTTTAGAAGAGTAATGAAATACCTTCAAAGTCACAATTTTAAACATTTCAAAACAGCACAGATTTTTTTTTAACGTCTCTTCAAAACCATTAAGATTAAAAGTACACATTCACAAAAAAAAATCAGGGCAATCTGGCTCAAACACAGGTTTTGAGCTGACATTAACCTTTTCATTTTGGATTTTTTCAGGCAGGGGTGTACTCACATCACTGCAGTTTATAGTTAAAGCTGGAGAAGGTGACTTCCTGAGGAGATGTGATGGACTTAATTCTCCAGAGGGTGAAGAATGCAACCTAAAATTGCATGTGTTTAGTTGATTTACCAGGTCACATTAAGCAAACACTGAAAACCAGACTGTGTGGTGCAGAACCCACCAGACCTCCCCAGTGACAAAGCATGAGTCTGATAATTCAAAACAATAATGTCTTAAATTCTCCTGAAGATTCTAAATTATCCTGCTCCAAGTTTTGGTAGCAGAAAACAGAGAAGAGATCAGAAAAGACCATGGGTCACAATTCTATTCCTTGAGCACAATTTTCTTCCTCTGTTGAATCACCAGTACAGTCATGTGCTCTGCCAGGCATGAGACTGACATAATTATAATGGTATCTCATAATGCTATTGCTCAACCTAAAAAAACGTTATACATATAATACAATAAAAGTGAAATTGGAACAAACCTCACATAATCATATATTCCTCATGCCTATCTTCACTTAAAAGCCTAGTGATGGTATTATGCATTTATTACCTTTGTAATTCTAAGATTTCATTTGCAATTTCAGTTCCTATACTTCCAGCACCAAGAACTGTTCCAGAGGACATTCCAGGTACACTTACTAAAGACTGTTTTACAGCATCTGTAGACAAAAAAAAAATAAAGCCCAAACAAAACCTTAAACCAAGAGCACTTTCATTGCAGAACAAGGATTCATTTTAAAGTAGCTTTTGTTCTAGATATACATATACAAGTATATATTTTCTTATATGTATTCAGAAATTATACTCCTTTAAATACTGATTCATGGCAGAGGGTGTTGCAATATAAAGTGAATAATCTGTTTGTGAAAATTGTTCGTTTTCCAGTAGTGAAATATATTTAATCATTGCCACTCCCAGTGTCTCTCACAAACATTGCAAAGAACATGAGTTTAAAAAAAACCTTGGATTTCTCACCAACTGAAATCAGTTATTGGAAGAACATTTTGAAAAGCAAATATAAAGCCTTGACAGCAAGATGATAGAATGGCATGCAGAAACCAGAAACTCTGCATAGCAGAAAAATAATAACAAAATATGTTCTGTATCAGTATTCCCCTGTATTTTATAGGTAAACTCAGCACAGTTGCATCTATTCCAAAACTGGGCAAAATATGAAGGATCTGTGACAAAGCACAATATCCTACTAACCAAATCCCCAGCTCTAGCAGAAGCTGCAGGAAATTAAAAGTAGGTTATATGCACTTCTTTTTAGAGTTCTGTGAATTATATCAATTAGGACTCTGAAAGTAACTAGACACTGAAAAAGAAGTAGCTTTAAAAAAAATTAATCCTTCTTTGCATGCAACCTAGAATAGAAAAAACCCAGAACTGGATAAATTTTAACTGACTGATCAGGAGACGCAGCTGTGGTATCTGTAAGAAGCCACACTTGCCTTCTGCAGGTTGGGAACTGTAGAGGACTTCTTCTTCAGCTGATTCCTTATGACCTCTAAGATGTAAAGAAATTTAAAAAAATCCCAAACAAGCCACAAAAAGTCAGCATTTTTTTCCCCAAGAGCAAAATCTAGCATATATTTATGTTTAATTTCAAGAATACTTTACACAGAACCAAAGCTAACATACTCAAACTAGGGAAATATAAGATATTCCTCACATATTTCCATGTTCAATTCTTTGTAATGTTTCTGAGCAGTGAGTGAAATATTGATTTCTACTTACTCTCCAATCTAAAAACAGAGCTAGTAGGATTGTCTGTGTTCCATGATAAGGGAATAGGGCTGTCATTTTTAGTGTTAGGAGGGAAATCAGGTAACCAGGAACAAGGACAGTCAGAGGCTGCCTCGTGTCAGCAGCTGCTGCCCTCCTTCCCTCCTGCAGACAGCTGCAAATACCCACATCTCCAGGGCAGGCAAAAAAGTGTCCTTGGGCTACTGGCCAGCACAGACTGTCCGAACTGCTCTTCTCTGTTTTCTTGGGGAAAAAGGACATGGGCAAAAGAGGTGGGTGATGTTGACCTAAGGCATGAACCAGATACAGAATAGGCAAAAGGCTCCCTCAACAACTTTATTTAATGGAAATAAAATCCCCTCTGTCCCCACTGAAAACCCCAATCACTGGCAAAGATCTTCAGTAGCACTGGAACAATCCCAATTATAGCTCCATTGCAAGGTGCAGAGAATGAAAAATAACTACAAATAAAAAGAATTAAACACACACATTTACTGTCCCCCAGGCTCCACCCTTGCAATCAATTTGAAGAGGATCTTTCTGTCCTGCCTTGCATTTCCACCATCTATCAATTGTGCTTCTCTACATTCTGACACCTGGGGGTAGGGCAGCACTTGGAATTGGGTCAACTGACACACAGAGGGTTGTAAAGACCAGAAGGAAAAGCAGAATTAACTTGACAGTTCCATTTATTCAAATCTACTTCTCTTAAAGATCCTTCCCTTCTTCCTTTAACAAGAAACTCTTTCATCTCTTTTTCTCCTACTGGGAAACAGCATAGTTTTCCAAGTCAAATCCACAACTTAAGCCTGAAACAAAAATAGCTGGTAAATGCCAAAAAGATGTTTGTCCAGCTTGTTCAGTCCCTTTTTGTGCAAGCTTGATGTTTTCTAGTCTTGTTCTGCTTTCTAGGCAGGTTATTTTAGTGCTAACTGTAATTATGACAAAAAAATAAATGGAGAGTCATATAAATTACTTACAATACCACAGTGTTGTTTGATACAATGTACTCCAGCTCTTTGGTCCAAGGATTCATGAAACTGAACCACTGACTCTTTAAAGTGACAAAGGTCCCATCTTTTGCTCTAAATTTGTAGGAATTTGTAAATACTTTTTCTTTGTTCTGCAAAACTAGATAAGAAAAGGAGAGTTATAATCACCATATTTAAGCTTAGAAAGGTAAAGTTAGAAATAATAAATCTATTTTACAGCATCATAAAATCAAAATGTTTCTGTTGGCCAGACATAGAATAAACATGCCAGAACAACCTGGGACCTGTTCTAAAATCAAATTATATAGTTTCAGCAGGGCCATAAATCTTACATTAATAAGCAAGTACTAAGTTCCTGCAAAGCACTAGGAGACTCATGACTTGGTGAACATTAACTCATGTCTTTAATTATGTTACCAGACACATCTGCTCTTCAGGATTCCTCCCCTTCCTTACAAAGAATGGAAGCAGAGGGTTTGACAGAGGTGCTGACATTATTCCTCCACAATTAAGGCCCTGCACCAGGAGCCAAGACAACAGAAGTTTCTCCCTGCTTTTAATACAAGCCTTACACAGGCTTGTCTTAACACAGAAATCACAAAGGGCAATGCTGAGGTTGGGTAGTTTGGGTTTTGCAGTGTTCTCACTTGCAGTTACACATAGCTGTAAGTAGTCTGGGAGGACCAACTATTTCGTACCTTCTTTGTGTTTTTCAGCTAGGTGATTGTGATCATCTTGATGGCAGTACTCATAACAAGAAGTTCCTAGAAGCTCTTGTGGCAGATATCCTAAAATTGCTGTTGCGCTGTTAGAAATAAAAACATGAACTACAGCGGACTCAAAGGTGTTTTTCTTCAGTGTCAGATAAAGCAGAACATTAATATTTAAACAAACAGACGCCTGTGTTCATGTTTGGGGAAAAAAATACAGCATTAGTACAGCTCTAAAACAACAGGAGATATTTTTCACAGCAAATTATCCCTTTGCAATGAATGACAATTCGAAGGTAAAGTAAATGTTTAAACATGTACACACAAAATACTTCTGTTTAGTGGCTCTCCCTTAGCCAGTCACAGTACTGATCACACATAAGAGTCAATAAAAAACTCAGCAGTTGAATTTTGCTCTTCCACTCAAAAGAATTAGTTTCAAACTGACACTTTTAGTAGAAAGAAAAGAAGACTGAAAACAGTAACATTTCCAGTGACAATGAAATTCCAAATGCAAAGTGGTAATTAGATCTCTACAACAAATAAAAGTCTGGTTCAGAAAGTACAGAAAATGGGAACTTAGTTCTCATTTCTAATAAAATAATTTGGTACCTCATTTAGATAGAATGTATTTGTTACAAATGGTAAGACTCAGAAGTAATAACTTCTGGTTAAATATTTATTACTTCAGTCTTGTGCAGAGCTATGAAGCTCTAACTTGAGATTTTTCTTTATGAATAAATGAGTCAATTTTCTATACGACAATACACTTCTATACATTATGTATTATTTGACAAAAAACAAAGCCCAAGTACACATAGTTTAAGAATTAACTGCTTCTTGTGTAGAGCAGAAAAACATTCTGAAAATTAGAATTCTTGATAATTTTAAAAAAATTCTCAAAAATTGAAAATTCGAATTAGAACTTCTACCCTGCTGGAGAAATTACAGTTTTGACAGAGGATCTGAAAATGGAAGCAGTTGTGTCATTTCTCTTCAGTAAAGAACAAAATGCTTACCGCTGATCTACATAAACAAATTTTCCATCCATGGCAAATCGTGTAACAAATTCTGTTGCTTTGACTTTTATCTCTCCACTCTTTTGTGGAACAATGTAAGGGTGTAACCTCCCAATCGCAACAAGACAGTTAAAGTTACTACTGTCCTTTTCTACATCATTTTCCTCTTCTACTCCCACCTCATTAGGAGGCCAGTTCTTCAGATACCCAGTACAGTGAATGGTGCAGTATTTTCTGTGATCTAATAGAAAGAAATTAAATAAGAAGTAGTTATTGTTCAAAGAGTAAACCAAACTACTTATTATGTTGGCCGTGAGACCAGCAACTATATTTCATGCTTACCTACACCAACTGTACAAAGCTAAAGATCATTTTACAGAGAATTTTTCAATTCATTATGTTCTATTCAATTTGGGTTTTTACCTGCAGAGAGAACTTCTAACCCTATGTAAGATTTAGAAAGATGAGTTATGGGTGTTGGTAGTTCAAACACAAGTTAGACAGAAAACAAACAATAACACATAAATCACTCTGGTTTTATATGGATTGTGAATTACAATTAACCTGAGACCCTCTGTAGCTTCCAAATCAATTTACCTTTGGTGATCAGAATGACCTGAACATTAGCATACTGAAGTTAAAGAAAGAATCAGCTTATTTTCTATTTATCTCAGGTTTCTGAAGTTTTGTGGGAATACAAATCTTTTAACTATCTTAAATTCCAGCATACACTGTCATTCATCCCTTTTTGCTCTCTAAATAATATGCAAACACCCTCATAAGCATCAAGGTTTGACATTATGTGTCCTACAGTAGCTGTCTTTGCAAAAAAATGCCAAAGCATTCTTGACACCTCTATGCTGAACAGGATGCTTTCCATAGCTTTGATTTTCCTCTCTATTACAAAAAACATGGATCAACTCTGCAAAATGAGAAACTGAGTTATCCCACTATGATTCTGTCACAGTTGCTCAGGTGCCTGCCTTCAAAACTGCTTTTCCAAGAAACACTTACAGAAGGCAAATTCTTAGCTCACTGAGTTATCTGACACATCAAGGGATATCAAATTCTATTTACTTACAATCACGGGCCTCTTAAAATTTGTGGTGTATCTCAACAGTAACAGCTTACATTGAAAAACAGAACTTGGAGGATTTTTTCAGGATCAAACAATTTCAGCACACCTTTGCAAAAATCAATACTAAGTTATTAAAACAAAAGTTGGAAATTGCATTTTAAAATTGAAATCTAAATTTTCACTGGAAACTTGACAAGATTATACTGCTCTATGGGCATACCAAAATATGAACTAAAGTGAAATTACTGGGAAAATTAATGGAATTACACCGATAAATTAACTTTACCATGAAAAGGGGGAAAAAAGGAAAATGCATACTTTTAAATACACACAACACAAAAAGTAAATCAGAAAAAAAAAGTTGGTTTACTTGCTTTTTTCCCTTCAAAATAGTAGAGCTGGCAGGCTTTATTCACTCAGTTATCTTCAAGACATAAGTTATTTAGTTTCATTCTTCTGATCTGCTCCAGTTCTTTCAAATATTTCCCTGAGACTTCTCAAATTTGACCACAACAGACCACATGCTCCTATAGAGCCACTGTACCTCAAGTTCCTCCCTCCCTCTTTCCAGGAGGGCACCAGGACAAGAAAGAGAACAATTAGACTGTTTTTCAAAAAGTGCCCTTAGTTCACATTTACGCTGCTCTACAGCTACTTGGTGAGATCAGTAGGAACTAGAAAGCCATTAGTGATTTGGAATTTAAACAAGTTTCAAGAGAGAAAGCCACCACTTCATCTCCACTCTCTGAATACCTTTCTTCTTTGGGTTGGGCAAACACTCCTTCTCCTCTTTGACTGTGGTCCTGCTGCACTTTATGCGACAGAAGAAAGAACGTCGAGCGCCAGAGTTCAGCCGAGCTGGTCCAGCTTGGAAATCTGTGTGTACTTGCAAGCCAGCTTATAAAGATTTAGTAAAGTAGTTAAAAACAACCAAAACCAAGCAATAAAACTTCAGAAAACAAGGTGCTTTCTGCATTTACCTCCCAGTACACTGTCCTTACTGTTTAGCTGCCTAAATTTTGTACTTAAAATTAAAAAAGTCTAATAGTTTAAATAGGGCAAAGAAAACATGACTGACAGATTCCAAAATTAGAAAGAACTACTACACTATTTTTAAACCCTTCTTGATATTCTTAATACAATTTTACTACAGATGCTTTATAACTTTCACCTTGTATTTGATACAAGGAAGAACTGCAAAGATGCTTGTAAAAGCCAGCTATAAAATAGACATTAGCTGCATAGTACACAAAACAGGCTGCATAGTACACAATGCTTTCCTTATTAGAAACAACTGTAAACTAAAGAAGGTTTGGTTACATTTGGATTGACACTTGGCATTTTCAGAGAAGACAGTGATTCTTGATATTGAAGTATTTTATCCCATGTTCGACTACATCAGGTCTTTTGTATTGACAAGACCTAGCAAATACAAGAAAAAAAAGTAGTATGCTGGTAGGAAGAATGTCAGACCACATCTTGGTAAATGCTTAACAGTGATTGCAGTAATTTAACAGAATTTCTGTAACTCTCATGATCTAAAATCAAGTCTCTTCTGGGCTAGCTTTTCAACTCTAACTGCATTTTAAACAGCAGATATGCATTCAGATGTTTGCTTCGTAGAAATACCTCACGTTTGTTCATCCACACATCCATACAAACCCCTGAATACATCCTGATTAATAATTAGATTAATGAACATCTCTTGAAAAAATCTGAGCAGAATCCAGTTCTGACTTACTTTTGCCATCTATGAGCTTCTCCCTAGGCGAGACGTCTGATGAAGAAAGTTGCTCCTTAACTTTTGCAACATCTTTTGGATGTAAGTAATCAAATAAACTTTGTCCAATTAAACTGGCCTATTAAAAAAAAAAAAAAAAAAAAAACAAAAAAAACCAACAAAACCCAAAAGAGATGAGAACCACACCATTTTGGAACAGGACCCCACACATTACTTGTCTCAGGAAAACTACTGTCTACACCACTACAAAAAAAAAAAAAAAAAATCAATACCACAAGTTATTCCAAACATCAATATGCTGTTTTACATTTCATTTGTCATTGTTTAATACAATTTTTATTTTAAAGGGTAGTAAAAACATAGTTTGTTCCTTCCCTTTGAAAAACAGCAGATTTAGTGGGAGATCAAACAAGTTCTGTACAAGCAAATGCTTTATTTATGTTAATAATGCAATTTCTGGTCCTAGCCAAAGACAGTTATGCACAAAGTAATTCCACTCTCGGATTATCAGGGAAGGAGGGAAGAAATAGAAAGGAGGATGAAATATTCAACTATCTAATGACTCTGAGGTCTAATTTGGTTGGACAAACTGGCACCACAGAGCCAGAAGCAGGCTGGAAGCAGGGCTCAGCCCACCACAGCACTCCTTAGCACAGGATATTTTCAGGGATGTCTCCAGCTGGGATGCCTTCTACCTGCTCTCTCTATCCATCCCAAGTCACTGACCTGCTGCAACACTTTCTTTTGGAACAGGAAGAAATTCTCACAGAAGTGGGAGAGTTTGGGTTTTCCACTGCTTACCTTCAGCACAGCAATCAAATCAAAGGACATAAAGGAGCTGTGTTGGCAAGCTCTACTCTAGACTCAAACTCAGGATAAACACCCAGTCTCCTGCCTTTTCCCAGTTCCCATTTAATCCTAATGCAATGAGAAAATGCTGAGTGCTGCTGAGACAGCCTAACAGCAGCCTTGCCAAAATATACAGGTGGAACAAACCAGATAAAGCTGCAGCATGGGATTCAGAAACTAGAACAACTCCCAAACAAGCTAATAAATCCATGGGTTTTATTAAAGTCAGTCATGTCCTCTGAATCTCATTGTCTGGAATACAGGAGATATTAAGGGTCTGGAGGTAGGTATGTCTAACATGAGTGACTCCAGAAAGGCACTTTCAGTTCTTGAACAAAATCAGTTAAAAAACAATAGTAGAAGTTAAAAAAAAAAAAAAAAAACTCCTCTGCTTTATGCTTATTCCCCTAGGATTATTCATTTCACTTTAATTTAAAAAGATAGTTTCACACTTAAAAAAAAAAAAAAAGTAAGATAAAAATAAATCTATGAAAGAGTCCAGATGGGTTATCTGTACATTTATAAAGAAAACAAAGATAGCACAAATGGTTTCAAAGTTACAAAAGTAGACAGATGGCAGCACTAGCTGTTTTAGCCTCTATGAAACAGAAGTCATTGATACAAGAACAAATTATCATCCCTTGATTATTTGTGGTAATTGCCCATCATGTTAAACACCAACTAATGGAAGGTACTTCTCTTTTGCCTATTTCCCTTGTTCTACAGGCTATGCTGGCTCCCATTCAGTTTGTTTCAGGTTAAGGGTACACACTTGGACAGTTTTTGTGGATGATGTGTTATGTGGCTCATCTGAGCATAAAGGCATCACCAAGGAAAGCTTTAATTAACTTCCACTGCTGCACTACTCGTTTTCCTTGGTGTAAAAAAAAACCCAAAATCACTTCACTATGTGAAAGAAAATCTCTTGCACACAGAAATTAGAACATCTTCAAATTATCCCTTCCTCTCAGACTGGCAGTTTTTCTTAAGGATGATCAGCTGAAATCTGGTGCTGTTCCTCACGCTGGGAACACTGATGCACTTGCACGTATTTTCTTACAGGATATTCAGCTTTACTCTGAATAAGGTTAAATCAAAGAAATTCCAAGAAATTATACACAAGAATTGGTTTGATGTAATATAGAATAAAAGTTTTAAAATTCCTAAGAAAATGCAAGGTAAAAGCAAGCAAGAAACAACAATAACCACCTGATCATAATTAAGTATTTTGCAAACTGATTCAGAGACAAACAGAATTTTTCCTCTGTTGCATCCAACCACAAACAGGAATCCATCTGCAGCCTGAAAATATAAAGATACTGTCTTTAAAAACACACAATTAAAATAAACAGTGAATATTAATGACTACAAGGAAGCACACTTTTAAACCTGATTTTTAAAATTAAATACAAGAAAGCTGGAGAGGGGCAAGAGGAAATGGCTCCACACTGACAGAGGGTGTGTTTGGATCAGATATTAGGAAGAAATTGCTCCCTGTGAGGGTGCTGAGACCCTGGCACAGGCTGCCCAGAGAAGCTGTGGCTGCCCTATCCCTGAAAGTGTTCAAGGCCAGGTTGGATGGGATCTGAGCAACCAGAGATAGTGGAAGGTGTCTTTGCCCATGGCAGGGGGTGGAATGAGATGAACTTTAAGAACCTTTCCAACTCAGGCCATTCTGTGATTCTAAAAAAAAAAAAATCAATTAAGATTGCAAGGACCAAACAAGGCCTTCAACCACACACATCTAAAATTTCTTAAACACATCTTTGGCAGAAGTCCAGCTACAAAACAGCTTCTTTTGGGAGCCATTCACAGATCTTGGTAAAGCATTACTGCAGCAAAAGAAAAAAACCACAAACCTAGCTGTGAACGAGGTGTGTGGGTTTATGATGAAGTGTACAAACAAGAGGGAAGATTTTATTCCAAGTATTTTCTGCACCTTTTGCGAAGTACATCTTTAAAAATGTCCATGAAGGACAGCCAACAACTGTGAGGATTTTCCTGCATAATTGGCAGCATTCTCTACAGTTGCATGAAGATTTTTAGAATGGATGTATTAAATAGGCAGACTGTACACAGATGGTACACAGACTGTCCCTTCCAGGTATGCTGCCTGCCATGCTCCCAAACCCTCTCTGTACACCTTCATGAAAGCCTGGGTAGTGCAAAGAGTTTAGAAATCAGTACAGCAAAACACCTGCCTGAAGGAAATGATGGGAGAAAAAGCACTGTCCAACTCAAAACTCAAGCTTTAACAAGGACATAATTTATCTGAGAGTTTCCTTCCACTTACCCTAAGGATTAACTGTCGCAGTTCATCATCCTTCAGAAATGAAGGTTTATACCGGACTTCTGAGTAGGAGCTACTGGAACCTGGAAAATAGATGATTCACAGAGATCATGTCAAAAGTTACATTTTTAGTTCACTTTTAGTGGAGCTATACTTGTTATGTCTTTCAGAATTTTTGTCTGTGACCCTAACAACTGAATTTAAAAAATAATTCAAGGTTCTAGAAATTCTAAAAATAAAATTAAAACAAATCTCAAACATAACAACTGGTAATAAAACCAGACACATAACCATTTTTTCTTGCCCTTTATTAACACAAACCAAGCAAACTTCTGTTCATATATCATTAATGTACTGCAAGAGAAATGGTATTAGGAGAACTGAATTTTCTAGAAACATTTCATAGGTATATTTCAGACCTCTTAATTAAATTCTCTTTCCTAAAACAGAATAATTCCAGTATTATCAATTATCTTTTGGCATTAATAATGCTTCATTAATACTATAAAGCCAACAATCAAAAACCAGACTTTTGTAGTTAAATCAAATGTCTCACTAAATATAGTGAGACTGACTCACGGCATGTACTGTTCTGGCACCCATGGCAAGTACTCTGTAAAATAATTTTTGTTCATTACACTTTTATCCAGTAAGGTTTTTTTTTTCTTGTTACATTTTTTGTAACAGTTGGACATTTTAGCCAATTTCGTCATGCACAATAACTCCACATAGTATATTGTATTCTCTTAAACCATTTGTTTTGAGGTAAATACAACTGTGCAGGGTGAAGTCCAGTTTTCATATCCTGTTGTTAAAATACAAATGCTTGAGCTGAAGATTTCTTGTTTAAACTGCAAGTGCAGTTACTGTCCTGCTGGTTTACATTATTTCCTGCTGGTTCACATTATTTCTTCATGAAGAACTCTCAGTCCTTTAGAAAACCCTCAAAAACCTTTACCTTGAGCCATTTCTATGATTCTATTACTGTCAAGGTAGCAACTTAATTAATTTTCTACCCTTCTTTGACCCAAAAATAACTGGGTTCCCATTATACCTGCTTATTCATAATCAGTGGGTTTTGCAATGCAGAGAGTCTTTGATCTTTCCTTAGAGTTGACCAAATCATTATTCTGAAACAGTGGTGCCAAAACACCTAAATATTCTGTGCAGCTGCTACAAGTTGCATATTGCAGAGTTTATCTGGATATATATTTTTTGGGGGGGAGGGAAAAAAAATCCCAAAACCTAGCAATAGCAAAAGGAGAGCAAAGAATATTTCCAGGGTTGATCCGCACACTAAAGCATTCCCTAAGATCCATTATTAACTTTGCCAGCTGACTGGGCTACCAGAAGTTTCTGTTTCTTGATACTCTCTACCATGTGAGGGTTTTTAAGACTTTAATATAATCAAACTCATTGACCATTTTGTTAAACTATTTTCTGTCTTGCAACTTTCCTTTTGACTCCTGTACTTTCTAAAAAGGATCAAGGAGTGACCCAAGAGTAAGGCATGCCCTGAGCAGCAGAGAATATCAGACACTGAAGGGTGGCCTTTTTTCTGCCATACTAAGCAAAAATTTAAAATTAAGTTCTGACAGCTACACACATGTACATTTAAATGAGGAGCAGACTTGGAACAAAATACAGTAAGGAGATGTAAAATAAAATACTCTTGATTTATTTAAAATCTGGGAAGATACACACAATAACTCCTAGTAGAACAAGGATTTACAGGATGATGTTTCCCAAACTCACCTTTTAAAGACTTCAAATGCTGCACAGCCATCCGTAGCACTGTGAGTTTGTCCAGCTTTCGGGCCATGGGATTGCACTGTGGTATCATGGCAGACAATTCCTCTATCAAATTATTCATTTTGTCTCTTCTTCTTTTCTCAGTTTGACTGTGAGCCTCTCTAAGAAGAAAAATTATTTTTAAAGAGTGATGTAGAACACATGATTTTCCCCATAATATTCAATTTCATTTTGGGAATGGAGCTATCACCAGTACTACTGCACTGAAACAGTTTTTCATATGCTACTTGTATTGGACAATTGAATTGGATTCACTTCAACAAAGACAAAATGGTTCCAATAATAATGTGAAATACTGAGGAGAAGAGATATCTCAGCAACAATTTGATTCTATTTGGCAGGAACAAGAGGTTATGAAGACTTCTAAAAGGTAACCCCTTCTTGTGACCCTTGCCATGCAAGTGATGACTTGGACACCTCAGTGTATCCCAAAGAACTCTTGATGTCATTGGGAATCAATGAAAGACATTCCTGCTCCCACCTCTGCCTGGCCTGTGTAACCAAGTTAGGGTGTTCATTCTGCTGCCTTTTAAGAAACCCCACAGCAATAAACATTACTTTTCTACATGCTTCTAAGAGATGGAGTGGAAACTGAAAAAAAAAAAAAAAAAGGCGTGCCTCGTGTAATTTACCAGCAGTATCTCAGAAAGCTTTCCTGATAAGGTGGTACAAAGGCTGTCTAAGGTTTCATCTCTTGGTAAGCCTGTCAAGAACTCAGCCACACAAAGAGCTTCTCAGCCAGTCTTCATCAGGAAACTCCTTCTAGGGCACATGGCTCCACATCACAAGTGCTTTTACAGCTCAGGTGACCTTTACTTCTTTCTAGTGCACTATGTCAGCTTTTCAGCCCATCTCCTCCCCTCTAACCACCCTCCAGCAGATCAAGGCAAGTTTCATTCACTCTGTTCCTCCTTACCCAGAAGACAAGCCAGCCACTCAATTAAAACCCAGACGTTTTTATTTCTGATTGAGGCCAGACACAGTAGTACAGTTATGCAAAATGAGGAATAAGTTTTGGTTAATTGATCTCCAAAACTTTTCCTTCTAGGCATACTGCAACAGAAGCTATTAAAGGTAATAAAGTTAACCACACCTGGCCTGTTGAGAAAGAACAAAGTACAGTTTTAAAGATCTACCTGAATACTGAATACTATTTTAACTGTTAAAAAAAAAAAAAAAAAAAAAAAAAAAAAAAAAAAAAAAAAAAAAAAAAAAAAAAAAAAAAAAAAAAAAACACACCAAAAAACCAAAAAACACAAGCCTTCACCTCACAATTAATCCTGGGTGATTATGCCAAGCATTCAGCTTTTCTCTCTCAAAAGCCTTTTTTTAGATTTAATTTTTTGAGTTATGCTCACACCTATGGGTTCACCCAACTCTTCCTTTACGTCAGGTAAGAACAGTCAAGTAATATCCTGTGTATGTTCCTTGAACTGTGAACATCAGGAAGACAGATACATACATTCCAGGAAAGGGAACAACCTACCACATCTCTGAGGGTCAATAAGGAATTATAAAAAACTGAATAGGTGGGTGCAGAAATTCAGGGGATAACTGAATGACTGAAAAAGCCTTCTGTTGCTTGCCAGAGCCACAAAGGCAAAGGGAGAAAAACAGGTTCCACAATAAGCTTGAGACAAATAATACTGGAAGGAGATAACTGATAAGCAAACCTCCAGACACCTTTGTACTGATTCTTTTTCCCTCCAACTAATGCACCAAAAAGTAAGGAAAAAAGTTAACAATACCACAAAGAAGCCATTAAAGCAATGTACAACAATCTTATAGAGCAATCTGGAATACTCTGTGAAGAAAAAATAATTTTCAAGTGAAACTGTAAATATATCTTGGAACATTTTAGTTTCTTTAATTTTGTTTCAATTACAGGAACACTTCATAATTACTAGCTAGCATACTATATAAATATAAATAATACTTCTGACAACACGTTCAGTGGATTATGTATTTCTGGTTTGACATCTCTGCTCACGGGAAATATGAAACACTTATTTTTAAATCAACTTTACAGCACAGCTCTGGTTTTACTGGTTTTGTGTGGTTTGTCTGTAGTTTACAATATTTGTTTGGCTGAACTGTGGTCACACAACTTGCAAATGCTCTGTAGTACTGCATTTTATTTAAAAGGTATGCTCTGTCTCACCCCTCCAAAATGTATGGTATATTCTAAGCCTGTGGTCCTGCCCTGAACCATCCTGTATCTGTCATCCCATTGGCCCAAATCTGATTCCGCACCCACTTCAATCTCCCTCTTAAACTGTGCTAGTGAGACCAGGCTCTCTCTTAGCCTTTTCCCTTCTTGTAGGCCCTTTTTCTCCCCTCTTGTCCCTCCCCTAGGCCCTTTCCCCCTCCCCCTCCCTTCCCCTTTTCTCTTCCCCCTCAGTAACCATGCTGTTTCCGGGGATGGGACCCCCAATAAACCCTCATCAATCAGCACCCTCAAAAGCCATGTGGAGTCTCCTTGCCTGCCTGCTGCTGCCAACGAACTGACTGTCTTGGGGGCTCCCCAGGGACTCCCCGGGGTGCCCCCCCAAAACGAACAACAACAAATGGCACTTATCTTTCTAACGGAAAAAAAGGGTGAGGTGTAGTATTGCATTTTATTTAAATGGTATGCTCTGTCTCACCCCTCCAAAATGTATGGTATATTCTAAGCCTGTGGTCCTGCCCTGAACCATCCTGTATCTGTCATCCCATTGGACCAAATCTGATTCCACACCCACTTCAATCTCCCTCTTAAGCTGTTCTAGTGAGACCAGGCTCTCTCTTAGCCTTTCCCCTCTCTTATCTTTCCTCCACTCTTGCCCCTTCCTTCCCCCTCCCCCTTCCCCCTCAGTAGCCATGCTGTTCCCGGGGGTGGGACCCCCAATAAACCTCCATCTGATCAGCACCCTCAGAAGCCGTGTGGAGTCTCCTTGCCTGCCCGCTGCTGCCAGCCAGCTCACAGCCTAGGGGGCCCTCCGGGGACATCCCGGGGTGCCCCCCCCACCAAAACGAACCACAACATTGCTCTATGTGAATTTCAGTTTATGTGAATTCAAAGTTCAGTGGCAAACTTGAATAATTCCCTATACAAAAGCTTGTTCTAGAACAAGAAATCTTTGTCGTGCTTTAGCCAAATCCATTTCCATGTGGAATAAATTCTAAATACCTCCAGAAGCAGACAAATCTAGAAAAAATAATTCTCACATTCATACAGATGAAAGGTCAGCTCCTTATACATGACTTGCGTGTACTGCATTTAATTCTCACCTTAAAAACTTAATGTTTTGCTAAACCATCTGAGATATCCTGTAGCAACTTTTACCAAAATTATTAGCAAATAAAATCCTCAAGGAGGCTTTAAAAATTACTATACATTTAGCAAGGAAAAGGAAAAGCTTACTGTTAAGTATTTGATAGTTTTAATGAATGTTAACCATAAACTCATATTTTGCTATTGTGAATCTCAGTATTCACTAGCAAAATGTATTTCTATTGAAAAATAGTACCTGAAATCTTTTACTTTAACATGTTCTTCATCTTCACTCCTAGAAAAAAACAAGATACAGAGTTTTGCATTACGTATTTAATACTAGGCACTTCTTTCCTCCCACAAATTCCAGAAGATAGAAAATGCTACAGATTTACTGTGGCTCCAGCAAAAGCAAACCCACAAAATCTCTGAACCATAACTGACCTAGCAAGTGATGCATAACAGAAAGAGACGAGAGCACAACTGGCAATATTCACAGTTGTGTGAACATATTAAAGGGATAATTCATAATTATGGGGCTTTTTTATTCTGGAGACAACAACATTACTGGAACACTCAAATAACTTAAGACTAGACTTGATTTTATTTTTTTGTTTCAAGTTTTATAAGAGAAATTATCTATTTATGTTTTTATTTCTCATATCTTATTGTCAAGTTATAAAATAAGCAATCCTAAATTACATTAAAAAAAAAAAAAAAAAAAGAAAACAAAATATCTCAACTATTTCCCATATCCTACAGCAATGACTTGGAAGTCATAAAGTAATAAAATTATAAATGAAACACAGTCCTAAGTGTCTGCAGCACAATAAACACACTGCAACAGGAAACGATAAAGGATGATTCAAACAAGGGCAAGGAGCTTCTCTTTCCCTGTGACCACTGCACTGTTCCCCACTCTTTGTGAAGAATTCATGGCCTTGGTACCATGAGGATCAAGAGGACAGGCCAAGCAGGCAGCAGGTGTCTCCCATGAGGAGGCAGAAGCAGGAGGACCTTTGGAGATTACATTTCAGTAAAGGTGCCAAAAGCTGCTGCCACCTGTAACTGAGCACTGAAGCCAGTGAGGATCCAGAAGCCAAATTAACAATGCATAATCTGGTATTTCACTGGAACCCAGCAACCTTCTAGACAGTCTGATAAACCCAAACACAGGAGGAGATTTGGCTCACAATACCCCAAGACTTTCATTCACTGAAATTGTTTCAGATTTAGATGACTTGGCAATAACTAATATTTTCCTTCCATTTTAAAATAAACTTACCAGAAATATCCATATACTGTGAATTCCAGCATAATTTACATTCTCTGACCATAAGAGAAGAGGTAAGGAGGAGCCAGGCCAGCTGCAATGCAGCATGTGCCCTATTAACTTTCCTTCTCCCTCAGAGCTCCACTTGGGGAAAAAATTAGCACAAATTTGCTGCTCAAGCAATCAGTCCCAGCCTTCAATGGATTTTATAGCCTCTGTCCTAACAGCTGTGGTGTTGCTGATATGAATAGCTAAATTAAAACCACCTTGACTACATGAACAGAAGGTGAAATTCCACTTTGTGGCTATAATGTGGGTATCTTTAATTGGTACTATAAAGGACAGAATTGGTATCAATCAGTAAAAATAAAGAATACCAGCTTTTCTCTACTTTCTCAATTGATTTATAAAATATACTTCCCCATTTCTTCTGAAATGGAAGCAAATGTTTTAAAGGCAGAAAAGGAGTTTTTTTAGTTACACTTTCCATCATGAGCACCATGGAAAAAATCCACGAACAAACAACCAATTTAACCCCAAAGAAAGATTTTTACACTATCCTTTAAGCTATGTACCAAAGAGTGACTTTGGTACCAAAGACTTCCCTGCAGAAAGAACCTGGAGGTTTTGGCTGACAGCAGGCCCAGTTCAAGGCAGTCAGAGGGCAAAGCACATCCTGGCCTCATCAAACACCAGATGGGCAAAGAGGTGATTGTCCTGCTCTCCTCAGCACTGGTGTGCCTTCACCTTGAATATTGTGTGCACTTCTGGGCCCAAAAATGTGAGAAGGTGTTTGGTGAAGGCGGGAAGGTCCCTGAAGGAATTCAGAGAAAGGCAACAAAGCTGATGAAAGGGATAGAACAAATGTCCTGTGGGGAGTGGCCAAGGACTCCTGGTTTGTCTACTTTGGAGAAAAGGAGGCTGAGGCCTTGCTCTTGCCTGCTCCTTGCTCTCTGCAGGTTCCTGAGGAGGGGAAGTGCACAGAGAGATGATGAGCTCTTCTCTCAGGTATCCAAGGATAGGACACAAGGGAATGGTTTAAGAGCTGTGCAGCGGAGGTCTAGACTGGACATTAGGAAGCATTTCTGTACCAAGAAGGTGGGGAAACACTGGAACAGGCTACGTGGAGAGGTGGTCAATGCCCCAGGCCTGTCAGTGTTGAAAAGGCATTTGGACAATGTCCTTTACAATGTGCTTTAACCTTTGGTCAGCCCTGAAGTGCTCAGGCTGTTGGAGTGGATGATCATTGTAGGTCCCTTCCAAGTGAAACAGTCTATTCTATAAAAACAATGCATGTCTACTTAAAAACAGATATTACCCAACTAAGGTATTCAGATACAGAAAAAGAAAATGCAACAAAGTAACCATGTAATTAACAACCCTCCTGGCACATATATTCCACAAAGGGTTTGCTTATGCTACATAGCCACCTTGTAACAGGATTATTTTAACAGTTACTATAATTGTAATTTTAAAAGTACCTTAAAAGGTTAAAACAACCAACAAAAAGTCCACCAGTCCTGGAAGAATATGAGAATATTTCCTTCACCTCCCTAAGTCTTCTTATTGAACTGGAACTTTCCACTCCTTCCCATTCTAAACTTCAATACTAACAAGTTCGGTAACAGCATAATCTTAGAAAGAACTATCAGGAACCCTTAACATTGAATGGACCTGTCCATCCTGTTCCTTAACTAAATGTTTATCACCTTGTGCTATACACAGACCTGCCCTGGGATGAAACACTCCTCAAGGAACCCCACAGCTCATCTAGGCAAATAGCAAAGTGTGACAAGTTCACAGAACTCAAAACAGAAATGAATTCATTAATAAAAAGTACCTTTTCTGAGGATCACCATCAACTTCAACTGTATCCCTGCAGAAACAGATCACAAAGTAAGTAAAATGGAGTTTGAAGCACAACAAGATGACTTAATAGATTCAAAAAACCAAAGTCACAGCAAAATTTTAATAGTAACTCCACTTGATTGGTTATTTTCAGCAAGACCATTAGTTCTAGAATGTAATTACTACTTCTTATTAGCCAGTACCTTTTCAATTAATTTTTCAACTTAGACAATAATTTTTTTTATCAAAGAGATCCAAATTTCAGGGAAACATTATTGAGAAACCAACACTTTTACTGAACAGGTAAAAATCAAAAAGTGATACTGAAAAAGAATGGAGACTATTTTTTTCCCCCAGAAACATTGCTGGAGTTTTCAGTTATCCACACGATACACTTGAATCTCCAAGTTGGCAATTACATCAACACCCACAGTACAGCTACTGCAGATAAATGGACTACATATGGGAGAAGCAGTGATTACAAAGAGCTTTAATAATCACAAATACATGTAAATCTCCTATTCCCCACCTTTTTAAACATGGATATTCTGCACTAGTTTAGAGATAGTTGTAGTGCACTACACCTGCACCTTGTGTCCCTTACTTCTGCCTGATTTACACAACTTTGAACACATCACTTTTTTGGTAAACTGGCATCTGTTTGGCAGTTATAGAACAGGACAAAACAGTTGACAGTGTCACCTCAGCAGTCAGGTATGACCCACTTGAAAAGAATGAGGACTACAAGAGGACAGTCCCCATTCTTAGGTCACAGATCTGTCTCCACGTTTAAGGAAATGGCTGCTCTGGTCACTGAAGCAGCAGTTCTAGATGAAACAATTCAACCAGTAATCTTGTCTCATGCTTGAAGGTAAAATTCTAGTATGTGCCTGGGAAACTTCAAACAACTTAAGAACTTGCTTTTACTAGTAGGCATAGAAGGAGGAAAAAAACCCTAAAAATTAGGATTGAAATTTCAGCATTAGAGACACATTATCCAGACACTTCAGGCCAGGAAATGGCATTACAGAATCCTCCATATATCCCTTGGATTTAAGGATTATTTTTTCTATTTTTATAATTGCGGACTGTCAAAGAACACATTTGGAAGACATTGTAAATGTAATGGTAAAGGACAAAGGAAAGAGGATTAGAAAGGAGGGAGGAGGAGGAAAAGGAAAGACAGTGACCATGTTGCATAAACAACAGACGAATGTCAGATTTAGGTTGAGACACAGAGATCTGATTCACTTACTGGTTATCAGAATCACTTCCTTTGCGTTTCCTTGGAATGTCAGGCACGGCAGCATTGAAAGAAGTGGTGATGGCAGCCTTAGTGACCGGATTCATGAGGCTGGGCCCTCCACAGGCCACGCATGGGCTCCCATCCACAGAGAACTTATCTGGCAGTGAGAATAAAGGCTCAGTGTCCAGCAAGAGCTGCATCACTCTGCATCCATTCTCATCCTCACTGGGACAAAAAGTTGTCTGTGTGTGGTTTCTGTGTCTCTGACACAAAAAGCCAAGGTTGCAGTGCTACAAGCCAAGTCCAGCAAAGAGTGCACCACCTTCCCACAGTGCTGCAATGATCTCACCAACCCAATCAACACACCAAGGCAATACAGAACAACTCTCCCCTCACGCAACCTTTGCACTTAAATCCCCCTCCACCTCAGACATCCTGCTACAAAATCACCAGCTGTGCCATTTTTCAGCAGATCGAAATACTGTGGCTCAAACTAAATGAAAATTAAAAATATATTTTGAACTATTTTTTAATCAAGTGGGATATCTAAAAAATAGAAATCTGCTATAATCATATTCCTGACACAAAATCCACAATTACACAGAACATCTGCCATAGAAGTTGGAAAAGTCTCAAGAGCTTGTCAAGTTTCCTTCACAATTCTCCTCTTAAGGAAAACTGTTGTTTCTGGGAAGGACAGAAGAGAAGTCACAAGCTAAAGCAATCCTAGCAACCTACTGGGAAAGGAGAACAGTCTCAAGGAACATGAGCACTATTACACTGTTTTTCTGTCTCAATGCAGCTATCACAAAGAATCACCCAGTTGATGTTTAGGCAACGAGCCAGAATTAAGTCTGTTTCAGCAAATGAAGGAACTCCTTTATGCTTCATGTGCCAGTGAGGACACATGAGGGATGAAGAGATGTCATTTAAGGAAGTGAGCAAAAACCAAGAGGAGTACTTTGAAAATCCAGCAAGAAGAAAATTTCTTGTGAGCCTTCTCTCTTTTTTTAGCATCTGTGCTATTTGCAAAAATGTAGAAATGTGCAAAAACAATGATACAAAGGATATTTTTCCCCCTCTTAGATGCAAACACATCTCACACCAGAAAAATTACCATATAGGTTTTCATTTGGTGTTGGAATACAGCTCTGGAGAGCTAAATTAAAATAGGCTAATACTCCAACAACAGCTTGCCTGGTCTTCCACTAATCCTCTATCAAACCAGACAACACAAAGTCAGCCCCTGTTTTATTTTAGAAAGCTCTTCAACTCATTAAGTCACACAGAAAGTTTCAAAAAAAGAGGTGGAAACAAAGAATCAACAAATACTTGACAAACAAGTGACAACCTTTGGACATCTGTGACAGCAAGAAAATCTAGTTATTTCAAATACACATCACATTCAAATTAGGGATATTAAAAATATGCTAAAAGAAATTACATGATAAATACTTTAAGTATTTATATAAGACAGTGGTAGATGTCTGAAATATTTTTATGATGAGTCTCCCTAAAAGTCTCATTTTATATTTCTGTTATTAACACAATTCCAAAACAAACAAAAAATGCTGACAGATCCAAATGAACTGTTTATTTAAAAGGAGCAGTTTCAATTTGCCCAGGTCACAGCATCCTATAATTCCTGATTGAACTACTAAAGTATAATCAGTCTTGATGAATATTCATAAAAGAGTACTTACTAAACAGCAACCTGCATGGTTACAAGACAAGAATGCCTTCAGCACAACAGATCCTTTCGTCCTGGAACAAAGCAGGACAGCACAGACCCACTGACCTAAATAATGCTCTGCACACAGAAGGCCAGCCTGCTTTCCAAACACTTCCCCTTAAAGGAACAAAATCCAAGGCCTCTTTCACGGGTTTTCCAATTTATCTTCAATACTATTAAACAACAGTTTTTTTTCCTCACACCCAAGCAACAATTTCTGAATACTCCACTTATCTCCTCTACCTCCTACTAACAATACCCATTTTGTTATTCTTAAGTGAGAAAACAAAATATGTTCAGATTACCAGTAACAGTAACCTATTAAGAACTTTTACACTACAATTATTAGGTGATAAATTGAATCCTTAACACTGTCCCTGGGACAAACTAAATGCCAGTACGATGGGTGGCTGATCTTGGACAAAAATGTAAGGTTAAGAATTTGTACTGATCCCTGACATGCTCAGCTTGCAGCTTCCCAGTAAGTGTATGTGAAATGAAAAAAATGTTAGTTCAACACTCATTTTAGTGTATTTCATAGCTGGACAAACAAAATATTTAAGGGATGGTTATCAATACATATTTCTCATAACAAGAGCATCTCCTATTCTTGCGTTTTTTCTACATGGAAAAGAAATAATAATTAGAGTCCCCACGGGGTTGCAAAGAAGGGAACAAATGCCAAGGAGCTGCACAAAACTGCTGTTTGGGGGGAGATACAAAGACAAACAAAATCAGCCATATTCCTGTGTCAGCAAAGTTTCTGTGTCAATCCCATGCAATGCATTGAGAAACAAGGCTTAGGAGACTCCACATTTTTACAATTGCTGACAATAATATTTTCTAATCCCATGCCACATTCCTGAGTTGTTTTCACAACCAACAGTTTTAAGGTTTTCAATTCCTAAGCAAACACAGGCTTTTAGAAAAGCTTTATGGCCAAAGTCCACCAGCCATTAAAAGGGAGATTCATCTGAACCAATAATGATGTCCACATCTGAAGTAACCATTCTGGTCCCTCTTGGAGGGAGGAAGACATTTCTAGGGTGATTCATCTCTCCCCAGAATAGATTCCTGCATTTGGCTAGATGAAATAAAACAGTTCTAGGGTGATTCATCTCCATCTAAAATAGATTCCTCCAGTTGGTTAGATGAGATACAGCCCAAGAGTGCCTATCTCTAATCAGTAATTACACAGGGACTGTAGCCATGATATTATGAAAAATCCTTTGCTGGGATTTTTCCTCTCCTGAGAAGCTGAGGAGCCTCAGGAGAGAAATGTAAACAATTACTATCTGCTGCTGTGGAATGCAACAGGTGCATCCATGATTGGTCCATGTGGATTGTTTTCCATTGATGACCAATCACAGCCACCTGTGCCAAGGCTGTGAGCAGTCACAGGATTTTGTTATTCTATTCTGTTCTTGTTGTAGCCTTCTGATCTCTCTGTTCTTTTAGTATAGTCTTAATGTAGTATTTTAATATAATATTTAACATAATAAATCAGCCTTCTGAAATGGAGTCAAGCCTCGTGTCTCCACACACGGAGAGTCCTCAACAAGGGACCAAATGAACTTCCTCAGACTTGGACATCTAAAGGCAAGTGAGATGAAACCCACCCCAAGTACAGAAATATCACACAATTCTTAAAACATAAGAGCCACAGACAACACCTGTTTGCATCACATGCAACAAGTTCAAGCCCAAGACAGGCTTTCCAAATTATTGCCCTAATTATGCACTGCCTCAAGACCACTCACCCCTAGCAGGGTTAGCTTTTCTGTCTAGGTTTGCAGGATACATATTAGCACTCCAAAAATCAGCAGGAAGATACAAATCATGTAGTATTAATAAATGAATAAATTAATTAAAAGAGCTGTCAGTCAGCCCTTATTTATTAGCCAGTTTAAAAAAGAACATCCAAATTCAGCTACCAAAATATTACAGTAAAATGGGCTTGAAATAAAATATCATTAAAGAAGTACATTTATAAAGCTTATGGTGACACTTTCCATAGTCTGGGAATAAGTGAGACTTGGAGAAATGTAGCAGCTCTGCAGCTAACTAAATTAATAATGTGTTAACACTGGCACAACCTTTCCAAAAATAAGGAACTTTTAATCCAGCTTCATATTTTGAAATACTTTCAAAGGAAAGGAGAAGAGGCTGCTTTGAATTCAGATTTCTAAGATCACGGATACTACAGACTACTAAAATGTGTATTTTCCAAAGGTATGTGGCATGCACAAAACCCTCCAGCAAGGAATCTGAGCTCTGTGAATTTTAAAGAATTCCAAAGTCTGGCAGAAGCGAGTGTGAAGTGGCACTTGAGGGTTGTGCAGCCCAACCAGAGCAGTTCCTTTTAGATTGTAAAGGTCTGTCACAATCAACATAGTTTTTTGGTGGGGTTTATTTTTGGGGTTTTTTTGTGGTTTTTGTTGGTTTGTTTGCTTGGGTTTTTTTGTTTGTTTGTTTGGGGTTTTGGGGGATTTTTTTTTTGTTTGTTTGTTTGGATTTAGTTTGGCTTTTTTTTTTTTTTTTTTTTAGATGGGGGATGAAGCAGCTCTGCTGTGAGGAAAGGTTGAAGGAATTGGGATTGTTCAGCCTGGAGAAGAGAAGGCTTTGGGGTGACCTCAAAGTGCCGAAGGGAAAGATGCAGAGAGACTCTTGACAAGGGCCTGGAGTGACAGGACAAGGGGCAATGGCTTCATACTGACAGAGGCAAATAACTCCACACCATGTAAATTGTTTTCTTTTACTATGGAGTTAAATTTCTAAATTTTAAGCTTATTTTAATGAATTCTTGCTGCAGGTATTCATTAGAGAGCGTGACAGTGACACACAGAGCCTACACATGTACAGAAGTGCGTGAGGAAGAAAGTTACATGTGCTGTGATATCAGCTTAAGCTTCTGCACATCTGAACACCTATACAACAAAGAATCATATTTTCTACACATAGCTGAGAGTTGTACTAAAAAATTATTTGAATAGATTTATTTTAGACCTTTAAAACAGGCCATGAAAAGCATTTTCAAACTTACTTACAGCAAGTCTGGCATCAAGCTCATCACCTACAGTACCTCTTATTGAAAGCTGGGACAACAATCTTTGGAATGAAGTTCTGAAAATAGTAGAAATGTATGGACTCAAGCAGCTTATTCTTTCCCCAGATTTTATAAGCATGTGTAATGCAGGAGCAAGACACAGAGAATTCAGTAATGAAAGCATCTTATGAACAACACTATCCAGAGAATAAACTCTTCTATGTTAAGAACATTGGATTTGGTTTTAATCTCACAAAATGAAAAAAGGAAAAAATTAAAACACTCTGAATTACACACATTTAAATCAAATAATAGGTAACTGATTACTCTCTGCATCTATTTTTACTCATTTTCATCACCTGGAAGAGAAGCAGTCAAGAATCACAACTTACCAGTAAAATGACACATTTACTTAACAGATTGCAAACAAAAAATATTTGGTGAAATCTATCAGTGTATTAAAATATAAAATAAGGCAGGAACCAGCTAATGAAAAGACCCTCCCCAAGGCCTGGAAAGGGTATCCTGCTTTCCCAGGCACTTTCATGTTCACACTAGGTAGAAAGCACTGATAGGAATCAGGAGTCTCATATATCATAGCTCATTTCTGGGGAAAAAACCCAATAAACAAAAAACAAACCACAAATCCTCTCCAATAATATACTCCTAGAAGAATGGTGAATAGTTGTTTTCTTGTAAGTTTTAGAATCATGTGATTGCAAAATGCTGAGTCCTATCAAGTCAGCTGCAGAACTTCCATGGTTTTAGCTGGCCCTGAAGTCCAAACAGGGAATTTTCAAAAGTTCACAATGATTCGCTTCCAAAATAATCCACCAAATTATTTCTTCTTACATTGAATTTGATTCTTGGATGTAAAATGTCCAGTTTAGAGTTTGTTTTTCATAATGTGCAAATGTATAAAAAATGTGTACACTCAAGTGAAAAAAAACACCCTAAAAACCATTAGCAGTTTAGTGTGGCCATATCCCACAAACAATTAAATACATTAAAGCACACATAACCCAAGAGGCATTTAGAAAACAACTACTAAACCTAGAAGAATTGGTGCTAACTACACAGAGCTGAAGCGATGGCTCAGGAGGAATTGGACCATTTGTGTTTCCCCACACCCCGTGCAAAACGCTCCCTTCTACTCGTTTCCAAGCAGGAACACGGGCATCAACTGATGGTTTACAACCAGCCTTGATTTAGTATCAGGAACTTATGATTAAAACCATGGAAAGATCAAATCTTGGTCGCCATACACGCGTGGGCACAAATACACACACAGAGAAAAGCCAGAATCACTATATTTAGTATACCTAAAATACTAAATTTTGTTTACCTACCAAAAAAAAAATCATACTAGAGTTTTAGGAATGCAAGGCTACATGTGTACCAGAAACAGTGAACTACAAACTTAGTTTAAAAAACCCCAAAAAACAAAAAGCAAAACAAACAAAACAAAACAAAAAAAAAAAAAAAAAAAAAAAAAAAAAAAAAAAAAACAAACCCAAACAAACATCAAATCCCCCAGATTTTTAGTGCACATCGCATCAATCAGTATGACGACACATCTGTCACAGCAATACAGCACAGTGACCATTACACAGGCGGATGCCAAGAGGACGGTGCCAGGCTCTTTTCACTGCTGCCCAGTGACAGGACAAGGAGCAATGGACAAACTAAACACAAGAAGTTCCACCTCAGCCTGAAGAAGAACTTCTGTACACTGAGGGTGGCAGAGCCCTGGAACAGCTGCCCAGGGAGGGCCGGGAGTCTCCCTCTCCGGGGACATTCCGGACCCACCTGGACGCGCTCCTGTGTCACCTGCTCCAGGTGTCCCTGCCTTGGCACGGGGGTGGACTGGACCATTTCCAGAGGTCTTTTCCAACCCCATTCCGTGATTCTGTTTCTGTGTGGGCGCTCCAGGTACCTCCACTGAACTCCACTGAGCGGGAGCAGCGAGCCAGGAGCGCCCAGCGGGAATTAGCCATGAACGCGAACGGCCCCGGAGCGGCAGCGGGCACAGGACCGGCCCCGAGCGCCCTCACTGAGAGACGGCAGTGCCCGACGGGCACCAGCCCCACAACAACACCCGCCCGTGCCACATCACCGAGGCGGGCGGCCAGACAGACAAGACAGACTCAAACAGGCAAACACACCCCACACAGCACCCGCCATCGACCCCACGCACGGAGCAACGCGCGAGAGGGGCGAGGGAGACGGGGCGCCCACCGCCCACTCCTCAGGCGGACCCGCTCCCACCTTCCGTCGCCCGCCGCTCCTCGGCGCTCTCAGTGCTTCCCGCTCCTGCTTCGGCCATGGCGGGCGGCCCCGTGCCCCACTCCACAGCGCCCCCGGCACCGCCGACATGCAAGGGGTGAGCTGAGGTGAGCAGAGGAGGAGCCGCCGGCGCCGGGAAGGGACCGCAGGCTGCCCCGCCAGCCGCCCCTCAGCGGGCCCGCCCCGCCATGTTCCCGCCCCGGCCCCGCGCCGCCTCTCGCGAGATATGCAGCGATGGTAGCGCCGCCGCGCTGCCCTCACGGTGGCCCTGCAGGTGGGGTTCGGTCCCCGGCGTGCAACGGCCCAAGAGTTTCAGTGACGAGTGCAGTAAAAGGCAATTACTCGAGAGACACACCGATGGCTTATTTCAGAGCTGCCCCAGCCTGGGTGCTCTGTGGTAATACCGCAAATAAAGCACTACCGCTGGACTTTTCATGCCATTATTTATACACGGAAATTCAGAGTAAGTTTCCAAGCACAGCAACTCTTTTAGGATTGTTTAGGATTTTCCATGTAAGTTTCCATGCAGCTGACTTATATGCGTGTCTTCACCTGGGCAGGGTCTTTTTGACATATAGACGTGATTAACCTGGAGTATTTTGCCAAGTTAGCAATGTATACACAGACATACATCAACACTGATTTACTACAATCTTAAAACATGTTAGTTCTAGGATGTCCTTGAGTAAGGGATGCTGGCAGCTGCCTCTTCCAATGGTTAGATATCCATTTTTGCTGGTTAGGCTTGGAAATATACGAAGATCTTACATGAAAGAATATCCTGATTTAAGATGATCTTGACATATTCCCGATTTTGCAACAGTTGGGCTGGCACCCTGCCCATGCCCCCAGGCTGGGGAGGGCTGATGTTCCTTTCTCTGGGTGCTGTACAGAGGATGCTTCATCTGAAGAAGCGTCAGGATCCTGGAGTAGTTTTGGTTGGCAGAGGCCTCTGTGAGTGGTCAGAGAGCAGTCCCATCTATCAGTGAAAAGTAGCATAAAATAGGGATAACTTTCACAAGTGTACTGAAGACTGTTAGCAGAGATGTAGCTGGTTTTTGACAGTACCAGGAACACACTTCTGAAGTGAATCTGCCCATCATGGTGCTCTGGTTCACACCCTGGAGTGCTGGTGTTTGTGAGGAGTGTTCCTTGTGCACAAAGACCTCAAGGTTCATCTGTAAAAGATTAGTGTGTTCCAGCTATTCCCAGGCATTCCTTCCCTGCAGCAGATCCCACTAGAACCAGTCTATGAAATGAAATTAGACCTCTACAACACAAATGAACCTCAGCAGTGCCTCTTCCACGTGACAGAGCCTCTGTCACTGTCCTGCCCTGTGCTGGTGCAGCCTTTGCCCACTCAGTTCCACTTGCAGCTGTGATAGAAGAGGCTTGTGCTCGAGCACACAAATCCTGACCTGTGCCATCTCTATGGGCTGTACAGGTGCTGCTTCTCTGTGTTGGGGCACCACAATATAAAAAAAATCTAAAGCTCTCAGAGTATGTCCAAAGAAGGGTTATGGAGATGATGCTGAAGGGCCTGGAGCAGCTGAGGGCACTTGGTCTGTTCAGCTGGAGAAGAGCAGACTGAGGTCAGAGCTCACAGCAGTTCTGCAGCCTCTTCATGAGGGGAAGAGGAGGGGCAGGTCCTGGTCTCTGCTCTGTGTGACCAGGGACAGGACCCGAGGGAATGGCTAGAGCTGTGTCAGGGTGTGTCAGCTGTTAGGGTGGATATCAGGAAAAGATTCTTCCCCCCAGGGGTGCTGGGGCACTGAACAGGCTCTCCAGGGAATGATCACAGCCCCAAGGCTGCCAGAGCTCCAGGAGCATTTGGACAGCACTCTCAGGCACAGGATGGGATTGTTGGAGTGTCTGTGCAGGGCCAAGAGTTGGACTTCAGTGATCCTTCCAACTCAGGATACTCCGTGATGCTATGAACTCAGGTGCGAGGGAACTTCAAGTACACATGTTATTGCTCACCAGTGAGGCCAGAGCTGCAGAGTTGGTGACATGTGTGTGGAGGAAGCTCCTTCTGCAGGTGTTCTTCTCCCACTGTTCTGGGGGCTTTCTCCTGTCTGTTATTCCTGTGGAGCTGGCAAGAGTAGCTGTAATATTTTGCAAAGGATATTATGTTCTTTCATCATCAGTTCTAGTGGTCACTATCTAAGTTAAAGTTTATGTCTTTAGAGCTGCAGACAAGGAATCAGTTTTTTCAGATCTGGGGGCAGACTCTTAAGACAAAAACACCCTTTTCTAAAAGAAAGAAAATATGACTAAATACACATGAAAAGGCAGTTGGGATCAGTCTGTTCTTCCAAGTAAAAAGCAATAGGATGAGGGGGAACAGCCTCAACCTGTGCAAGGGAGGGTTTAAATTAAATATTAGGACAAAATTCTTCATTGAAGAATTGGAAAAGTCTGTCAGGAAATTGGTGGAGTCACCAACCCCAGAGGTATTTAAAACATGTGTGGATGTGGCACTAGGGGATGTATTTTAGTGGTGGATTTGGCAGTGCTGGGACTCGATTGAAATAAGTGGGCAGGAGATCTTTCTCCTTTTTAATGCCTTTATTAAAGAGATTCAGCTCAGGTGGGGAGAAATTGATGGGTCACGCCCACGCCGCCGCTGTCCCCAAGAGTGGCACGGAGGAGGAGGGTGATGCAGCTCTGTCCGCTGGTCTGCAGGCAGAGCTGGGGACTGCGTCCTCACGGGAGATTAGCAGATTCCACCTTTTCCGTCCAACACTTCGGGTCCTCTCCCTAGTCAACATCTTTTGAGATTAGGGTGAGAAGCAAAAAGGATCCAAGCAGGCACTGGACTACGCGCCCATCCTTAGACATCACCTAGGTCCCCTAATTCTATGTTGGCTTGTGGTTTTTAGGGGTTTTCCTGGAAAACTGGAAGATTTGGTGCAATGCATTTCTCATCTGCATACTAGCTCTGATGCCACTCCCATGCCCTGCTGCTGCAGGGTCCCAGTGTCGCTCCCGGGTAAGCACCAGGGGGACAATGGCTAATCACCAACCATTAACAGGTAATTGAAGAAGAACTCTTAACAATGAAGCTAACTTAATAGCAACTGGTCCAACTGGTTTTAACTCTGCAACCTTAAACAAAAATAGATGACTTTTATTCATAACAGTCCCCCCTCTATTTCTTTGATCAGGCTTAATCTTAAGTTTAAGCTTGCATCAACTTACAATTTGGCTCATTAACATATAATTTCCTATATCTTTTGTATTGATTATAAATTTCCTGAGCACTCTGGTAATCATATTTACTTACCTTCATTACTTTTTTTGGTTTCTTCAGGTTAATCTCTTTAGAGATCCTTAGGTTATTCTGTACAGCAGATGTCACTATTTTAATTAAACAGAAAAATAAGAACAAACTAACAAGTGT